AGGTGTTGGTTTCCCCGTTTCCTTTTTTCCTAAAGTGTTGTAGAGATGTTCCTGTCTCGTCGCCCTCCCTTTTTTTTTTTTTTTTGTGTGTGTGTATATATATATATATCTAAATATGTCTGGATGCTTATGTATTATAATCTGATTGTGTTTTTGTTGTTTTGCGCGTGAGTTTAAGACCACATTCACACACTTTAGAATAAAAAATATATATACATGTATTGTCAAATGACCGGATGTATTGTAGCGTCTTGTCGAACGTAATTTCAACGAAGAAATAAATTGAATAACATAGGTATTTTTTCTTTTCTCAATAATTTTGTAGTTTTTAAACTTAATAGTGATTAAATTTGGATTTTAAAATTTGCCAGTTTTTAATTTTAATATTAAATTTTATCATACAATTTTATAATTATTGGTTAGTATAAATTATTTTTAATATTACTCGTATTTTAAAGATCTGAATAGCTATTATAACATGATTTCGTTGTCAAGCTTTTGAATCTTTCTATACTTGTTTTTTGATTGGTTATTCTAGCTTTTGTAACAATATTTCTCCCTAGTGAAGGAACGTTAATTAATTTGAAACTTTTAAAACCATTTATTTTCTCTTCAACATCATCACTTGATAAGACACCGAGGGTGTTGAAACAAAATGGCTATTTTTTTTAGTGATTTTATAACATACTTATGTTATAATGTTTTTATAAATAATAATTATATATATATATATATATATATATATATATATATATATATATATATATATATATATATAATCTAATTGAATTATAAAACAATATTAATATACAAAGTAGTGTGTCTGAAAATTGTAATTTTTTATTTTCTCAATATTTTTATTGTTCAAAATATTTTTTATTGTTCATATATATATATATATATATATATATATATATATATATATATATATAAATAAAAACAAAAGGAAAGACAAATTAGCCAGCACGTTTTGTTCTCTGAAGGACTATATCAAGGCAAATGCGAGGACTTTTATTTTATTACAAGTATTTATATACAAGCGCAAAAATCTTATTGTTTTTTAAAAAAAATTTAAGTTCAGTAACGCTAACAAATATTCATCGGGTTAACCGAAAAGTTAGACCGGCTATAGAGGAAACGAAACTATAAGGGATGGAATTCAACAAGCGTCGGTGATAATTCTACATCGTGAGAGACGCTTAAACTACATTGAGGCTTAAATCTAAATTTAAATTTTAAATTTCTGGCGCCCATCACTTCAAGATGCACAACTGAGCAGACTACTTTCAGATTTCAACATTTTCTTTTGGTTTTGTCGCTGTTGTTTTTAAGTATCTCTACCAATCAACACACTCACCGCATTAGTCGCTCATTGTAATAGGTCTAACCATAATTTCGAATTATAGAAGGCAGTTTTAATTAAAAGAGAAAATAATTCATTAAGGAGAACATATATAGAAAGTGTACTAATTCATGAGTGTGAAACGGTCAATTTAAATAAGTCGTAGAATGCTGGAAATCGCTTACGTGTTGCTACCGTAAAGTAGTCCCGTTTGCGTAAGAGAAACTTTGTCGATATCAATAATCGTTGATGATTTGATTATAATGGTGAAAGCTTGTGTACAACCATTTACATATTTCATAAGAACCGAATAGAGAACACTCCAAAGAGTCCTCTTCAGGTTGTGAATTCAGAGTTGCGACCCAATGCTTTAGGAATCAGTCTACCCTAGAATTTCACCCGCAGAATTATTTTTGAACAGGAAGAAATTTAAAACGTTCATTGATTTTTACCTTTTATCAATTCTTCTTCGAAACGTATTTGGGATTGTAAGAAGAATTCTTAAAAATAGTAATAATTTTTTTTATAATAACAATGATTTTCTGCATACAATTATTTAACCCATAGACTGGGGGATTTGGATTCATACATTTCTCAAGGAAAATTGCGTGTAAGTAAATGTAACGAAACTGTGTTTTTAATTCGATTCGGTTTTATTTCTCATACCGAGCCGTGATCCATTATATCACCTGCACAAAATAACAGTTATATATATATATATATATATATATATATATATATATATATATATATATATATATATATTTTTGTGTGTGTGTTTGTGTTTGTGTGTTTGTGCGTGTATTTGTGCGTGTGTGTGGAGAAGTTTCAGTGGTTGATTTCTTTTATAAGGTCTTTTGAATGTTCGTATCTGACATGTAAAAGAAAAACGCGTATTTTCCTTTGAAGTTTCCGAATAATGTCGAAAATTTGAATGGAAACCTAAGTCCCGATCAATTTTGTAAGAAGAAATGAAAAACCTGAATATAAAAGTTAAAAAAAAACAAAAAAAACATCTTGAACGATTTTATCAAAATGTTCAATTACTGAAAAAAGAAAAAGAGAAAGAAAAAGAGAAAACTAAAATGCACAATTGGTTCATGTTATCCTGTGAGTGGGCGAAAACGAATAATCGATTCCTCATATAATTCTACTCTCCAGTTTCCGTGTCTTTATAGAGGGAAACATTTTTTTCATTTGTACATGTATTATTGAACACGACAGACAATGAATGCTAATTCTTATATATATATATATATATTTGTTTTCTTACATGGGAACGAATCGTACGTTTAAGACGATACAGAAAATGTCGATAGTTTTATCGTTGATTCTATAGCTTTCGACCATTTTCTAGTCATCATCAGGAACAAAGCATACAGATGTTATTTATCAGAAGATCAGAGGATGAGTTCAAAATGGCCGAGTTGCTGGATGAGAGGGATTTTTGTTTTTCACTGGTACGAATGTTCGAGCGTAGGATTTCAATATTCATTATCAAGTCAGATAGGACTTATATTTGGAAAATATTGGCGCAAAAGAATCTGCCTACTTTTAGCTTTTTCCTCTTTGTACTTCACTTAACTAAATTTAATATCGATACATGGAAAAATGACAGCACATTACTCACTTCTACCAGCATCCAAGTAGTATTTATGTATACATACATATATATTTTAATTGGGGCACCCCGACGTGGTGTAATGGTTAACAAGCTTATAACGCTAGAAGACTTACAAGTTAGTAGTGATTTCGATCCGCACTAGATGCCCCATACTCAATTAAACTGAAAAAAATAAAATCATCATTAATAATGGCTAAAAGAATAGCCGAAAGCTCGGAATTATAAAACATTTGGACAGTTTCTACACACTCTGTGTCCAAAAAAGAAAACACTTGTTCGAACACAAGAAAAATTAAATAAAAAGCGTAATATATAGTAGTATGTATATGTAGTATATTCTCAGTCGTTTTTAAGGAAACATACTTAAATGAAGGATTGCTGCCTAAATACACAATATATATATATATATATGTATATATATATATATATATATATATATCTGTATCTATGAATGGCATTCTGTTAGAGTGTCTGTGTGTCTGTGTGTTTGTCACCTTGTTACCTCATCCTGAGCAAACCGTTCGTCCGATTGGCATGAAAATTCACACACAGATCGAAAATGTACGACATTCGTACTTGACGTCTTCGGATTTTTCGATTGTTCCTCCGATTTTTGGAAAAAATCGATAAAACCGATAGGGGATTGAATATTGATTCGAAAAAAAATCATCAGTTTTTCAGTGATAGTTTTCACAAATTACAAGTGATATCCACCAAACTCACGTTAAGCAATGTCCTTACTTATAGTTTTGAGGTGATGTTCTTTGTTTTTAAAAAATGACATCAGTTATCGGAAAAAATCGAAAAATCGATCACTTTGGAACATCCGATTCTAATCCAATGAAGCTGATTTTTGGCTCTGTTTTTCGCAAACTGCAATGAATTTTCACGAAAATCATGTTGAGCATTACTTTTATCAACAGTTATTAGTTGCTGACCTTTTTCTTCAATATCGGTATCAATTATCGAAAAAAATCGATAACATTATGCAACTTTTGACTTCCAATTGAAATGCACTCAAGCTGATTTTTGGCTATATTTTTCGCAAATGGCGAAGAATTTTCCACCAAAATTACGTTGAGCCTTGTTTTTATCAACAATTATGAGGTGCTGACATTCATTTTCAATATCGATATCAATCACTGGAAAAAATCGATACAATCGATCTCTTTGGGACATCCGATTCAAGTCTAGTCTAGATGATTTGGGGCTATATTTTTCGCAAATGGCGAAGAATTTTCAGCAAAATTCCCATTGAAATAGTATTTACCGACAGTATTGAGGCGCTGACTTTCATTTAAAATATCGGTTTCAAATAACGGATAAAAATCGATGAAATCATACCCCTTTTGGCTTCCAATTCAAATCGAGTTTACCTGAATTTGGCGATGTTTTTCGCAACTTGCTTGGGATTTTGATTAACTTTATCGGCTTTAGTCGTGACAATTAAACACTTCTACCCTGTGACCTCCTTTGTGACCAACTAATACCTGAGGGAAATCGATACAATCATGTCTTCATCGGAATTTGCGAATACACCAATCAAACGTATGTTCAACTGAGACGTCTACACTACAGACTCTACAGCTAATAGTTATTCACACACGCGTGTCCATGCTTCCCATAGCGGTATCTCATTGGCTGATTGCAGTACGCGGTCGCTGATTGGGGTTCGAAACCCTAGGACGCTCGCTGATGGCCACAACCGATTGGCCAGTAATACTTCGCTTTGAACCTGCTGTGCACAGCTGTGGGACGAAGGTCTCACTTCTGCTCCTGTTAAGCCGTCATCCGGTTGACACTATAGGCTCCTTTAACTGATCATTTCTCCTACCGCAAGTTGTTTCTTACGTTTTTGTTTTTCTGTTTGTCTGTTTAAGTACGTTTTTCCAACTGCCATAAACAATTTATTCAGCTGTTTTACTTAAATACCTCCCTTCCCGATTCTGGCTCAAGCTTTGCGATACTAAGTTAGACTTTGTACTCCTGCAATTGAGCAACCCTAATCAACCACTACTAGCATCACTTTTCCCCATGCCTCCAAAATGGAGGGTACTTCTTAGCCTTCGGTCTGCAAGAGCGTCCGCTATGAGGGCAAGAAGGGCCCACGAGTCCCAGGAGGTCGCTCAACGCAGCTCCCTCACGCAGGCCTCGCAGTCACAAGAGGAGCGTGCCAACTGCTTGGCTGGGAAAGCTGCCTACAGGGTATCGTTGCGATCGAGGCTCAAGATGCACAACGGTCGAGAATGAACGCACAGGCTGCAGCAACCACCTCAGCATCTCGGGCTTACGAGACTCATCATCAAAGGCTTCTTCGTAACGTAAGAACGCTGCTGCCACTGAGAAATCAAGGGCAATAGAGAGACTTGACCGCAGGCGCGCCCGTCAATCCAGGGACGCTGCTGCAACAGCGAGCGCTAGGGCTGCTGAGACTCCGCTCCGTAGGTCTGTTCGAAATGCTACGAATGCTGCCACCACTGCCAGGTCGAGGACAGCTGAAACATATGACCGTAGGCGCACCCGTCAATCCAGGGACGCTGCTGCAACAGCTAGGTAGAGGGAGTCGGAGACAGAGCTGCAGCAGTCAACCTGAAATACCCGCAACGCTGCCAGAAACTCCGAGGGCCCACAGACAAGGGCAAACAGACTTTTAAGGGCTGCTACAAACATGGCCGCTGTGCGCTTATCTCAAACTCCCATACGCCTCGACGGCGACATTCAGCGCCTTGCGGTCGCCCATAATATTACCTATCCCAGTAGCTCTTTTTGGTCTTTCTTGTCTTTCAATTACGACTCCGGCATTAACTTAACTACGCGTGACGACATCAATGTAGGGTCCATGACCTTCGTTTGCCAATTATGCAACGCCCGCAAATGGGCTGGGGAGCCTGCCGGTCTGTGCTGCTCCTACGGCAAAGTTCGACTGCCACCTCTGCATGAACCACCTACCCCGTTGAGGGGGCTAATAGCCGGCTTTTATCTCGACTCCAACCACTTCCTTAAAACAATTAGGCAATACAACAGCTCCTTTCAAATGACCTCATTTGGGGCTCAAGTGGTTCGAAAAAAGGGTTGGATGCACACTTTCAAAGTACAGGGGCAGGTATACCACAGCATTGGGTCTCTGCTGCCTGAGGAGACCTCTACGCCTAAATTCCTTCAACTGTACTTTATTGCAGACTACAACCTACCGGGCGAGACCCGGATTGGTATTTCGCCTCAGTCGGGAAGAGTTCCTCGCAGGGACGTCATACTACTATTTCAGGCTATGCTTCACGAGGTTAACAGCTACATTCTCAGTTTCAAATATGTTTTGCAAAATTCTTTCTTTCCTTTCTTCATCATTGTAATTGACGCCGACAAATGGCCTCATGATGAACACGAACGCCTCTAGAATGCTCCTGCGTCACTCCGCACTCGCGATATTGTCCTCAAATCAAGAGGCGGCACTCTTCGCAGGATTTCAGAGATCCATCGATCATATGACGCATTGCAGTACCCTTTACTTTTCCCTTATGGTGACTATGGCTACCACTTCGGCATTCCCCTTCATACTCCGGCTGGCCAACCTACAACGTCTTCCAAAGCCTTATCGTGCAAGGCCTTCTACTCATACCGTTTCATGGTTAGGGATGGAGACTTCAGCCTACTTCATAGTTGCAGGGAGCTTTTCCATCAGTTTGCGTTTGACATGGCCGCTAGGATGAAACCGGAGAGGCTTTGTTTTATACGGAATCATCAGAAAGAGCTGCGCTCAGACTCCTACGTACACTTACAAAAATTTACAGCCTTCAAAATGAAGTCAATCCCCGCGACCCAGGAAAGCTGTGCATTCTGCTCTCTACCTACACTGGGGTGGGGGTGGTTGGTGTTACATGCGTGAACGCAGGCAGAATGCTATGACAAACGTTAGGCAATATGGGCGGCCAGACTAATTTATAACGTTTACCTGCAACCCCAAATGGGTTGTGATAACGCGTGAACTCCTACCAGGAAAGGATTACACTCATAGACATGACATTACCGCCCGCGTATTCCGCTTAAAACTGGAAAAACTTATGGACTTAATAGTGAAGGGGCGAGTCCTACAGTGAAAACGCAACCACTATTTTACATTGCCAGAATTAAAAATCTTGACCTATTATGAACGGGTGGCAGTCTTCGGGTAAGCAAGGAGCAGCAACACAACAGCCACCTATTGCCACCGGTTGCCCTTGATCTCATTGATTTTGCTACCAGTGAGATTCCCGGCCTATCAGTGACCTCAACAACTGCGCATACGTGTGTAAGTTCAATAATTCAAACCCCAAAGCAATTTAACTACATAAAACCTCGAGGAACGCCGGGCTTTACTGCTAGTGTATATATATATATATATATATATATATATATATATATATATATATATATATATATATATATATATGTATGTCGATATTTGCAGCAATGTTAACAAAATTTATGAAAGTCTATATATGTCTAGGAGCCATGTAACACATAATATAATAATTTCTTCAGATGCATAGGATATGTTCTGGATTTATTTATAAATAAAAGTTATACGTTGCATATTCTTTGAAAAAATAAAATCCTGTATCCGGAAAATAGGTTCTTATAAAGATTTGTAAATAATGTTGAATATTATTAGTTGAAAGTCACACTCATATAATGATTTTAGTTCTAAGCGCTTTCGGCTAATTCATTAACTATTTTCAAGTGTTTATTTTTAACTTTTATCATTGTCTATTTTCAAAGACATGTAGTAGTAGAATCAATTCCAAATTGCGTCACAGAAATGTCTCTTATTCCGTGTCAGGTTGTCTTTATAACAAATGATGTTCCTACCGTTGCTTCCTTGCTTTTCTGCTTGTTGGAAATCCTGCTCTGTAGTTCCGGTCTTTTAGAAACCAAAAGAACCCTTAGATGCTTCTAACTATCGGCCTGTTAACCGTCTACCATTTTTGGCAAAGTAGTAGAGGCTCTAATAAACTTTGAATTTGTTGATCATCTGACCATGCAGGGTGGATTATTGCTGAAAGAGTCTATCAAGTTTTAGATTAGTATGATGAAACTCAGGTATTTACTTTGGGTATCTCGAAAGCACTTGATAGGATTTGGCATTCTGCTCATCTTCACAAGTTGAAAAGTTATGTAATTTCTCGAAATATTTCTGAATTGATTCAATCTTTCTTATCAAATCGCGAAGTGAAAATTGTCTTGAACGGCCACTCTTCTAGATCTTTTTGCATTATTGCAGGTGTCCCCCAGTAATCCCCCCTTAAATCAACGTTGTTCCTAATTATCATCAAGGACCTTCCTTATGGCATCAGTTCTCAACTCAGTATCTATACTGATGACAACAAGTTACTTCTATCTTAATAATAAGTCTAATCGGTTTGATTAGCTGAAACCTACAATGTCTTGTTAACTGGGGCAAGGAATGGTTTGTTAGTTTTAAAATCCCCCAAACACAACTGCTCTCTTTTAATCGTCTGGAAGAACACTTTTTGCCTTTCAATGAGCATGGCCGATGCTAACGGCCAGGTGACTGTCTCATTGCGCTTTCTCGAACTAACGTTCTCCACTGGCATGAAGGGGAAAGAGTATATTGAATCAATCGCTAGGTCTGCTGCTCGAAAAGTTGGTTGACTGTGTTACCCTAGACAATTTTTCTCGTCAGAATCTATCTTACATATTTATAAGTCTACCATTCGTCCATACATGAAATACTGCTGCCACATATGATCTGGTGCCCCTGAAATATATTTAGATATTCTTGATAAAATTCAAAGCAAAGAATCTGCAATGTTATTTACCTTGACCTGACATCTCGGCTTCAGATACTTACCTACTATTGTGATGTAGCTTCCATCTGCCTTTTCTATAAATACTTCCATGGTATTTATTACGTTTCTCTATCAAATACCCGCGAGCACTCTGTGCCCGATTCTTAGTTTTACTAAGTATGAATCAATTTCGCCTTCTGTCCGACTTACCTACATAACAATAAACTAATTAATACTTCAAAATAAATGCATTCAAATGATTCTTGCTGCTAATTTAACTGTTCGAATTTTTAAAGCCAGAAAGATTTATATTGTTAATTTATAAGTATTCCATCCTTTGCTTACTTTCTCCTTAAGATCAGAGTATAGTAGCAGTCTGATTCCCAGGCTCTATGATCTTAAATCAGCTTCGCTTTCTGACCGACTAGCCTACATAATAATCTAATAAATCAGTGTTCAAAATAAATTATTTACACTATTTACATTGTCCGGACTGTTGTCTTCATTTCTGTTGCCATTTTCACGATGTTTCGACCGTTGTACGCTCCGGCCTTCTTCAGATGATTGGAATTTTGAACTGGACCCTGTATTCCGTCCAACTGGGTATATTGTTCTAGTTCCACGTGCCACGCCTCTTTCGGATATCTCAGTATCAGTTATTTCTCTTTTAACTCGAATCTCCAAGTTTTTGTTCACCCCTGCTGTACCCAGATATTGAACTCACAACTCTTTGGGTCAATTCACTGGGTTCAACCACCTTTTTCGATATTTTGCCCTTACCACGTAAAACTATGCTAGTCGTCTTTATTTTGAACCTACTCATACTCGACACTCTCTATACTATTTGCTTTTTGAATATATATATATATATATATATATATATATATATATATATATATATATATATATATATATATGTGTGTGTGTGTGTGTGTGTGTGTGTGTTCGTTTTCATATAAAACGTGTACTTGTGTAATTTTCGTTCAAACTTTCTCGTATTATACGCAAGAAAATACCGTATTCCAATTTCGCCTGTTTTCATTATTTATTTTGTTTTCCACATACAACGTATGAAAGCACCTTCGTTACCCTGTCCTAGTCAGCCACCAACCAAGGGAGATAACACAGTTTCGGTGGCTAAGGCAGTACTGCCACCCCTGGCGCCACCAGCAGCTTTTTCCACCGGACGGTGTATTGTTTTGTTGTGTGTTGACCTGAAAATCTCTGCAATTTTTTAATCAACTGCAAGTCAGATTTTCAACGTTGTGTTAAAAGTGTTTGCTTTTGATCGTTAAACAAAATTCAACACGTTCGTAGCGACCAATATCAATGACATAGAATGGAAGGCAAACAGATTTGCGTCACGTCGAAAGTAGCATTGTGTTTTATTAACTTTGTTTATTTTGGATCTTGATCTATACCTGTTGAACTGTTGAACGATTTGAAGCACTTTTCAGGCACCAGTGGTGCCCACTTTCAAAAGTGGAGAAAACGAATGACCGTCTTTAATAGGTAGCACATGACATGTCCATCCCTTTTCCACGAGGTCGGGCTCGTAGAGATTTTTCTTTCGTTCATTCGTCTTCTTCCTGTTCTCCTCCCATGGAACTGTTAAATCTACGAGGAGGACGCATTTCTTTGAATCAGACCACGCTACAATGTTAGAGTGCGTGTGTGTCTGAATCATGTGTACCAAAAATTGCAGAGTTGTTCTAAAACAAATTACATCCTCCAGTCACGGGCTCCACTCTGTAGTGTCATGTTTGGAGTTAGTTGAGTCTTTCTCACAGAGCGTTCACCTTCCTTGTGAAAACGGATCTTAGGTTCTCTGGTCGTTACAGGCTGTTTGTTAGCTACTTCGCACTGTGTACTGACTTAAGTCCATGACTACTTCCAGTGTGTATTATAAAATGGCGAACGTAAAACTCAGTCATTTGCTTCATTTGAGCTGTGGTGTTTTTCTGTTTAGATAAACTGGAAAAACAAAAGAAAACAAACAAAAGAAATAGGAAATATATCATTTGATACACGTGTAGACATACTGAAATATAACTGGAAATATCGGCTTGTTTGCAAGAAGTGTTTTTATAAATGTTTAAAATATAAACATGGAAATTAAAAGGACACTTATACTTAACATCAGAAAGAGGAAATTAAAGATTCTAGGACACATAATGAGGAAAGAGGGCTTGGAAAATTTGATACTCGTAGGAAATATTGAAGGCAAGAGGAACAGTGGAAAACATCGTATAACCTAGCTAAAGTGTTTGTGTAAATGGATGGCAGAACAGGGTTTGGGTGAGATATAAGAAAAAGACAAAAATTTATTAATAGCTGCAAAGAGAATCATGATCACCAGCATCTTGAAGGGTCACGACACATAGAAAAAGTTATAAAATAAGAACATCGTATAATGCTCTTCACAAAGCCACTGACTGGACAATGAGCCCCGCATTATAACGATGTTCTGTTTGTATTTTACATCTATTTTTTGTTCCTATCTAAGATAACACAATGACCTTTCCTGGAATTACAACCAGAGCCACCATATCCTGTCCGACTTTTTATTGGATTCTGTCTTCAACAATAGAAAGTTTCAGTTTTCAAA